TGTAGTCTACTTGCTGAACAGGTCACCAACAAAGAGTGTTTGGAATCAAACACCTCAAGAAGAATGGAGCGGAAGGAAACCCACAGTCTCTCACCTCTGAGTCTTCGGAAGTGTCGGATATGTGCACGTCCCAAATCAAGAAAGGAATAAGTTGGATTACAAAAGCAAGAAGTACATATTCCTGGGATACTCAGAACACTCAAAAGGTTACAAGATGTTTGATCCCGTGGAAGAGAAGCAGATCATCAGCAGAGACGTGGTAGTTGATGAAGAAGCAATATGGGACTGGACTACTGAAGCAAATAAGAGTTACACTTTTTCTCCATTCACTATGGATGATAGTGATGAAGTATCGGATACAGATACACCTCTATCGAGTCCACCCAGTCATAGAGAGCTTGCTAGTCCAGAAGGAAGTTCAATTCAAAGTCCAAAAGAGAGGCCACATAAATATAGACGTCTTGAAGATCTATACGAAGCTACAACAAGCATTGAAGCTGATGAATTTTGTTGATAAATATTTTGGTGCCCACCAAAGAAAAAGCCAAATATTAGGGAAATAAATAATTTTATTTCCAGCAACATGAACAACCCGGCCAACAGGCTGAGCTCTATGCTAGTAACTAATAAAGGGAGAGCCACCCTATTATTTTAAAAAATGAGTGAGCAATTTGATGAGTTGACCATAACAACCTGCATTCAATTTGTATAAGTTCATTGACCCCTAACTTGATTGATTAGCAACCCGATTAATTCAAATAAACATGACTAATTCGGTTGATCAATAACTCGATTGAACACAACCTGAACACATCCCATTGACACACCTTTGTGGACCACGTAAAGCCAATAAGGAGGCTGGAAAACATAAAAGAAAAAAGTATAAATAAAATTAATAAATAAAATTAGATTTCTTAGCTTATTTTTAAGTAACTTTTTTATGGTTAAAATAGTGAACCCTGTGAAAGAAGTGTAGTTCATGTGGTTTCATGTCCGTGTTAGTGAACGGTATATGATACACAATTGAACCTCTCCCAACAACTAGAGTTATTGGGATCAATTGGTTCTTGACATGGTATCAGAGCCATCTGTGACTAAGAGGTCTTGTGTTCGAATCACGGTGACCCCATTTGAAAAGCACATGTATTTTCGTGTTCATGACATGTGCAAGCAAAATCCCTTATGAGTTGACTGAATTTCGTTTGAAGGGGTGTGTTAGTGAACGGTATACAATCGACGATTGAACCTCTCCCAACTACTCAAGTGATTGGGATCAAGTGGTTCTTGACATAGTATTAGAGCCTTATGTGATCGAAAGGTCTTGTGTTCGAATCCCGATGACCCCCGTTTGTGAAGCACATGGTATCATGTATTCAGACTTGTGCAAACGAAAGGCCTTATGAGGTAACTGGCTTTCGCTTGAGGGGGTGTGTTAGTGAATGGTATATGATCCAAGATTGAACCTCTCCTAACAACTCGAGTTATTGGGATCAACTGGTTCTTGACAGGCCGACCATTAAAAAACGTCAAGTACATCTCTAACCATTTAAATAAACAGTCCGGACTGCTATTGTAATTGGTTTGACAATTCTACCTGTCCAACTATTCATCCATTTCGGTTCTTGTAAAAATGGTTAGAGTTATGCATGTGCACAATCTCGTCCCAATATTATCGGTTGTTGATTAAACAAAGTTGATAATTAAATTAGAGAATCTAGTTCGACTTTTGATTACTAGACGAAAAGTAAATATTACCGCATATGTAGTCATTAAAAAGATACCCGAAACAAATGATTTTGAATTGAGAGGTCATTCTCCCTTTTCACTCGGTGAATTAGTAGCCCTCTATCTGTAGTTCCACGCACAGCAAAACATGGAACAAGTGCTGAACTTCTCCAAAGGCATGAGCTCCATTCGCATTCACTAAAGAAGTGGATTTGCGTTTCTCTGTTCCCACAGAATGCACATTTATCACCCCACTTGTAACTTTTGCTGCTTAGATTATCACCCGTTGGAAGTATGTCCCGAGCAAACCTCCAAAGGAAGTGTTTTACCTTCGGTGGAGTGTTCAACATCCATAATTTCTTCCAGACTTCAGCATTACCAATACAAGGGAGGGCACCCTGCTCCATTTTATGTCGTATCCAACTAGCACATCCTTCCTTCACAATGAATTCGCCATCTTTGCTTCCGTCCCAAATCAATTGGTACGGTTTTTGATATATCCCAAATATCGGTACCAAACTTCCAGCCCTACTTTTTGGTGTTATGAAAATAACAAGAGATTAGGCGAGAGACGAGAGTGACTTAAACTGGAAAGTCAAAATTGAGTTGGATAGGGGCTTCAAATTTGTGAAAGAGTGAGAAATGACCAAAAGTTGTGTGTTATATTTAATTCATATTTAATTTTTGGTATTTCTCAATACTTCGGTATATACCGATCCCAATCCCATAATCCCGAATACAGAATAGCACTCCAAAATGAATCTCAATTTCTAAAAAATAAGCCGGTATTCAGTAATACCAAATAGTGATAAATTAGGTACGATATTCGGTATATCCAAATACCGGTACCAAACCTCCAGCCCATACTCTATATAGTGTATAGATGAGGCCAGAATAATAATTACTAAAACCACGAGCCAAAGTAGGCTATTTTAGTACAGTTAGAATAATGTATTAAAACTACTATTATTAATGGAGATTGGGGAGACTAGCATGTTTATGAAATTAATATTTAGGGTAAGTTGTTGGTTTGTTTGCCTGCTGCAAGCCATCACATCTTCCATTGCGGCAAGCCACTGATCAGCTTCGCATCCGAAATGGCTTCTCTATAGGATTGTGATTCACCTGCATCCACTTCTTCAGCAACCTGAAATGAATACGTCACCATGTCCTCGAAGTCATACCTCTGTGGAGGTACTCATGTAGTCGCTCTCTTCGGTCTACCGGAAGCCATAGACTGTTGAGCTCGTGCACTGGAATTTAAAGTTTCTGGCTCTGCAGAAATATCCTCATGTTGATCTTCTCCACCATGGTGCTCAAACTCACTCTCATTGAGAGTTTGCAGCTCCACCTGCTTATCAACATTACTACTAACTTCAACAACAGTAACCTTCAATAAGGGGTTAAACATAGACTTCTCATCAAATATCACATTTCTACTGAGTATAACTCGATGCTCAGAAGGTGACCAGACTCGAAATCCCTCAACTCCATCTCTGTAACCCAGAAATACACCCTTCTTTGCCCTTGGGTTCAGTTTACCCTCATCCACATGATAATAAACAGGACACCCAAAAACTTTCAGTGAAGAGTAATTAGTAGGCTTACCATACCACACTTCATAAGGAGTCTTACACTCGATACATGTGTGAGATCCACGGTTGATCAGGAAGCACGCCATGTTTACTGCTTCTGCCCATAATCTTCTCTCTAGTCTAGCATTAGAGAGCAAGCACCGTGCTGTCTCCAACAATGTCTGGTTCATCCTTTCTACAACGCCATTATGCTGGGGTGTATCTCTAATGGTCCGATGACGGGCAATCCCTTCGTCTTTGCAGAATTTGTTGAACTCAAAACTGCGAAACTCCAGACTATTGTCCGTTCGAAGCTTCTTGATCTTCTTCCCGGTCTGATTCTCCACCAATATCTTCCACTGCGTGAACTTCGTGAAAGCCTCACTTTTTTACTTCATCATGAAAATCCAAGTAAATCTCGAATTATCATCCATAATAGACAAAAAAATACCTGAAGCCTCAAATAGGTTCAACTCGTGAAGGACCCCAACAGTCGGAGTGGAGGTAATCCAGTATCCCTTTCGTTCGGTGGATGCCCTTCCTGGGAAACTGATAGATGTCTAATCTATTTCTACGATAAACTACAAAGAAAACTAATAACTTTAGGGTTTATTCTTCGCATAATACACCGAATGACATAAGAAAGGTTTATATAGATATCTAACCCTAATCGACTAATGGCAATAACGTAAATAACAATAATTATATAAATATGGTAATAGCGTATATGCATATACGCAACAATCTCCTCCCCTTCAGCATAACCTTGTCCCCAAGGTTAATCTCATCCGTCATCCGGGAAATCGCCAACCATCAAAAATAGCTCCTGACCAGCGCAACGATGTCCAATCGTGAATCGCTCGTCGCAGTTGAAGCATAGTCCATCTCTGCGATGTCGTGCGGTCTCTGCTGGAGTACGCTTTATGGTTCCGAACGGAACCTGGGGTGGTGCCCGCACTGGTGCAGCCACATACCCTGCCGCTGGTGCCTTCAACCCAAGCCGCATATCCTCCAACTCCTCCTCCCTTCCTTTTGCTAATCGAAATGCTTCTCGCAGCGATTGAGGTTGAAACTGACAAACTCCACTAGCGATTGCTGGTTTTAAGCCTGCCAAATAAGCATTAATTAGAGTACTAACAGGCCATCCCCTGCAACGATATGCCAGCTTCTCGAACTCAAGCCTATGCTCATCAACTGATCATGTCTGCCTAAGTTGCATAAGGTTCTCTTCCTCGTGCCCCTGCAGTCGGTTCGAATCTAGACCACAACTCTTCCTTGAAACGCTCCCACGTCACCGCTTCCCCCGAAGCAGCCATTGTATACTCCAACCACTGCCACCACTGCCCCGCGTCACCTTCTAAGTAGAATGAAGCCCATGGAACTTTTTGATCCTCCGATATCCCTTGAAACTTAAAGAATCTTTTAGCTCGAGAGATCCAAACTGTTGCATTCTCCTGACCGTTGAATTTAGAAAATACCAATTGCGGAGGCCTGACCTTGAAAACTTCTTGAAACCCAACCAAAGGTCTACCCCCACCTGGTATAACCTGCTGTCCAAATTGAAGTGATTCTGTCAGAGTTTGGTCCAACCGATTTGCTGACCAGACTGGACCAACACCTTTCAAACTAGGCCATCCCGGCCCAGCTTCCATTGCAGCAGGCCCCCACGACAAATAATTGCCACCCGCCACATAATTTGGCCCCAAGGGATGACCATTATTTCCCCATGCATTACTGGGCCCAAACCCTTCTTCACGAACTCCTCCCACCAATTGAGTTTCTCCTGCAATTGTGTCGCCGCCGGCCAAATTGATGCTGCCACCAGCTGGTATCCCTCCATTGCCGTTGTTTCCACCACAGAACCTTGAAGTCGATGATTTCCCCATGCTACCGAAGCTAAGTCCCTCTACCAGTACTGGGCGGTTGTGATTTCATACAGACCCGCTGGCGGCTCCACTGCTCTGCTTCCCGGGTGTTGTCATCCCCATTGGTAAGGTAACGACACTTGATTTTACCTTCTCCTTCTGTCCTGCGGGCGTTGCATTGACGACCTGTGAGTGGCCGCCAACCACATCTTTCCCTATCCTTTGAGTGCTCATGATCTCTGTCACCATTTCCATAGGTTGGGTCATGCGTTGAAGCATCGCCTTGATCTCTCCGGCCTCGTTTGTCAGCTGGTTCACCGAGGCTTGCCCGGCAGCGAGCTTCGTCAATTCATCGCTTAAGAAGATCAATCGGCCATCAAGGCTCTCAAGCTTGGAGGTGTTTGCCGCCTGTTGTTCCTCTAGCTGCAGCAGTCTCCGACTGTCTTCATTTGAATCTTGCTTCTCACCGGCGTTGTTGGTTGTTCTAGTATCGACCATCGTAATCGAATCGCGGATCGATCGGGCTCTGATACCAGTTGATAGATGTCTAATCTATTTCTATGATAAACTACAAAGAAAACTAATAACTTTAGGGTTTATTCTTCGCATAATCCGCCGAATGACATAAGAAAGGTTTATATAGATATCTATTCCTAATCGACTAATGGCAATAACGTAAATAACAATAATTAGATAAATATGGTAATTGCGTATATGCATATACGCAACAGAAACTTGTTGCGATGTAACTTCCCAAACACACAATCCTCACAAAACTCCAAATTCTGCACCTTGTGCCCGCAAAGAAGATCCCTCTTCGACAAAACTTGCATCCCCCGTTCACTCATATGACCCAGTCTCATGTGCCAGAGAGTGGTCATATCTTCCTGATGAACCTGAGGCGTTGCCCCCGCACCCCCACCGAGGCGTTGCCACTGGACCCCACTCGTTGACCGGGCAGTGAGACCCCCTACTATTCTAGTCATAGCGGCTGATAGTCCGATTCAAGTCACATCAATATACACCCCTTAAATAATTATATGTGCACTATAATCTCTCAAATAATTTACCATTATATTTAGTTTATAATAGGTAATTTCTTTTAATCATATTATTTAACACTCACATTTTTTATTGTTGACTCGCTATGACACAACTCCTAACAATGGCCAAGTGTAACCAATGAAAGGGACTGCAGTATAGTGGCTCAAGTAATAAATATCGAATCCACGGGTCTCTAGAGTTACTATTACTCAGCTTCAGTTCATTATCTAGCAAACCAGATTAAGATAGAACAACTAAAACTACTCTAGCAAACTACAGTTAAAGTTAATTTAATTACAGGTTGGGAACTCACTTAGGTATGATTCTCCCTAGCCACTAGCCAGATTAACGATTGATGATCTCTAACTTGTTTCACTTTCATTCACAATGCGGAGAATCCTTGACTAGACCTTGAGTCTCGACTAAAGGAACAAGGCCCTCTTGAGTCAATTGCCTAGAGGGACGTATCCTTCTCTAGAACAACCGATCAAGGCGTTCTGAACTAGACTCCCTCTATCGAAAGAGGTTCTCAATCGATACAAAGCAGTGAATCAACCCTCGACTAAAGCAATCGATCCAATACTATCAATCTATGGTGCTCTATTGACCTAATCAGGTATTCGCTCTCATAGGATCAAAGCAGAATCAATAATCTCGACTAAAGCAGAATTGAATCATGAAAACATGCATAGATTGAATATGAACTCAAGATTATCAAGCAGGAGTACTCATACAATCATCCAATCAAACAAACATGGCTAGGCTTCCTCAAAACCTAAGTGAAGGGAAGTTACTCCATAGAGAAGAGAGAGACTGCAGTAAGAATCTTCAGATGATCAGTCTTCAAGTCCGGGCTTGTTCCTCGAGTTTCCAAGGCAAAGAAATCCTCCAGTTCCACTACAAGAATGCCCTCAAATCGCCCTCTCTCTCTTTGGTTCGTCCCTAGGGTGTTTGGGATCCAAAACCCAACTCCCACTTGCAAAAATGCACAAAACAGGCTTTTAACAGCCTGCGTTCGCGATCCCCGGTCAGAATCCCCTGTCGGGTATTTTAGGTCACGGCCGGGGATTTTTGGTTCACGATAGGGCCCCCTTCTGTTTCTCAGAGAACCCCGAAACCAATTTTCCCCTATCTTTGATTCTTCGTTTCTCCCTCGTTCGGACTCCAAATCAGGTGTTGTTTGATCCCAGATGCTCGTAGTCTCGTCCCCTTTCTTCTCATGACAAGATTAAATGATTATATGGTCAAAAAATGAGGTAGAAATCCATTCTTATTCAAGTCATACCCGAGTTTCTTCCCCCGAGTCGCTAATTGATCTCCGATTGACTTGAAACTTGCGCCTACGCTTCACTTTATGTGCTAGGACCTGAAATGTGACAAGGAACACAACCTAGCGTAAAATAGGATAAAGAAGCGATAATGCAAGCTTAAACAATCAAGAAACAAAAGGACAAACATGTGCAAATATCGAGTCATCAAATCCCCCCACACTTAACCGTTTGCTTGTCCCCAAGCAAACCTTACTCAAACTAATGCAGCTCTCCAGACCTCTATAGGAACAAACAACACCGATCGTTGGTAGAAGATTTCCTAGATAACAAAGCAGCTTTCGAGGTCAACTAGTCTTCTAAGACGTTCCCTATCTCTCTCAATGCGAGTTCTAGACTCAAGCCAGGATCATGAGAAGAAGTAGAAGTAAGACAGTCAGTTCATGGACAAAGGGTCTCACAACATTCACAACCAAGGACTCGCTGTACCGGGGTGCTCTTTCACTTCATTTCATCGTTGGAACCCCTTTTTCTCACATTCATTTACATTTTTTCTTTTTTTCTTTCATTTGGTGGGGTTCCAACTGCAGTCTTTTGCACGGTCGACCCTTATTAGTCGAGCAAGAGCAATTTCTGTACATCTGGCGCTCGCCAAAATACTTCTTTTAACTCATTTTCCTCAACTCATGTGGAGGATCAATGAAATTAAGGGGGGTCGGAAGCTCTATCCGTGCCCTTAAAAACACATCCTCAAGTAGGCAAACCGTTCAACGGGTGGAAGTTTTACTTGTACTAGAGACAGCTTAGCTTCACCCTGTAGGAGTACCCCACTAAGGATCACTAAAATCTCCTCCAAAACCCGATTTTGTGCAATGAAAGGTGCCACGCACGTTGGGCTTACCCCATGTTTAGGATTTTGATGATTTCGACATGGAGGACCAACTGCTTTTCATTTCACACATGAGCACCCTGTTCGATACACAAGTCCACAAAACAATCCAAATAGAGTCACCATTACCACATGAATTTAACGGTCTTCGCTCCACTAATTCACAAAATCAACTGGCACAGCAGAGAGCTAGATAGGAAAAATCTTATACTTCAACATCCTCCATAGTGCTACACTACCTCCCTAGGTTGCACATTACTATAGAGACTGTCAATTCAAAGCATACTGAGCAAGCAATTTGCATGGAAACACGTACTTGGAGCCCTCAAATTTAAAAATTTGGACAGTGGACTAGGCTCCAAGCACACAAACAGCCAAACATTCACCCGCATACATAATCGAACATCCCCCCACACTTAATCACGACATTGTCCTCAATGGAGGAAAGATAAGGAGGGTAGAACGAAGTTACCAGATCAAGGGTGAATAATGGTGGACGGGGCAGGCGGTGTATTCCAGGAGGAGAGAGTAATCAGAACACAAACACCAGTACACCACACAAAATCTCACAAAGGTTGAGTTATTGAATCTAAAATCAAATAAAAAAAAACTAACTCAACCGAGGAGAAAAAAAAAAAGAAATGCAAACCTGACTGGTTGGGTTGCCTCCCAACAAGCGCTTCCTTCACGTCGTGAGCCGGACGATGGCTCCTAAGTTTCGGTCCACCCCAAAACCTCTTTGAAGTTGAGGTTCTCGTCGATGAGGTGGAGTCTCAAGTCACGAGCATGTGGTATGACAGGTGATGGAAGCTCGTGCACTTGATGCAGATAACGTCTCCACCCTCGAGACCTCATCTTCTCTTCTCTCGTCTCATTGCCTCAAACATGATATGACAGCATCGATTGACCACCATCGCGTCCACCAAGAGGAACCGATGTCGATGTGGCTTTGGTCTGGCCCAGAGACACTGCAAATGGGTCCTTGCTAAGCAGTTCCTCGAAGTTTGGTGGAGATATCGCATGTAACTCATGGCCGGTGCAGGCCTCTTCCACCTCAACTCCGTCCTCAGCCTGGAGCCCAATTGCGTCTTCAACCCCCCTTTCTTCTTCATGTGGTATCACCCCTGGGAAATGATCAAGAACTCCTTCTGCTTCACTTTCGTCATCCTCCACAACTTCTTTCTACACCATTTCTTGCTCTTCTTCTTCTAGCACGGATTGGAACGCAAGTTGCCAAGCAATTTCTTTCATGAGATCTTCTTGCATCTCCTCACTCATGCCCGCCTCTTCAAAGCTCAGTTTGGGATGTGGGAAGGTGTGGTCGGCTACGATAGGACATTCCTGATCATGATCATCACGAGAGCTCTCCGCGACAACTTCAGTGTGCTCCACAATGTCCTTGTAGCCTTCTTCTTCCTCCTCCTCTTCTAGTATGGTAGCAGAAGGGTGATCTGGAGCAGGTTGTGCATAAGATCTCTCAAGATCATCGACGCTATTCTTAAGGCTCAGGAGGATCTCCTCTGTTTCACGATAGGTCTGGGTACAAAGATCCATCCTAGACAATGATCTCTCACTATCTCGAGCAAACTGCTCCATGAGAAGCCTCAACTCATAATTTGGATCTGGTTGTGGAGTGTAGCATGGCTCTGCAGAATGGCCCGTGAAGGCCGCCATGGCTAACTCCAGCTCCGATGGCCCTTCTGGTTGTGGGAGAAATTCTTCTTGATAATGATGTTGTTTTTTATATGCCCAGGGGTCTGATTGTTCTACGTAGTGAGGGGGTTGGTACTGGAACCTGAATCCATAGTATTCTCCTCCTTGATTGTTGCAGGGAGTCTCGGGTTAATACCACTCGGATGGTGGTGGATACCCCCAATGGTTGGAAAAGCCATGAGGATCCATGATTTAGATCTGCACCAACAAAAACAAAAACACCCAAGTGAAAAGCAAGGGTGGAAAAGAAAAGAAAAACGCTAAAGTAACAAACTTCTGCCTTTCCAAATACTCTAGAAAGTCCCCGGCAACGGAGCCAAAAACTTGACTCACTCCTACTGTCACTCTAGAAAATGGCCAAGTGTAACCACTTCCTAAAGGGTAGTATAGCGGGTTTGGGTTTTAATGTCAACCCGGGTCCTAGATATGATGACTACTCGGTGAATTCTTATTATCTAGCAGTGAAACTTTAGTGCAGGTCCAAATTAACAAACAAACAAAGCAAGTTTAACGGTTGTTTTCAAGTCGAAAGAGGTTACCCGGATATGGTTCCCCCTAGATTGCAGTTAAGCCGGATTGGAATTTACCAAGTTCAGTTTCTATGATAGTTATACTGCGGGAGGTTCTTAAACAGTCTGAAGTCTCGACTAAAGGTCTCCAGACCCTCTCAATTTGAGTCCCCAGCGGGCGACTAATCTCCACCGGGGTAAACAGATTGAGGCCCTAACGAACCAAACCTCCACTACCGAAGTAAATTCGATACAGAATAGTGAATTGGCTCCTCGACTAAAGTCACCAATTCACTACCTTCAATTAAGGGTGCTCTATTAACCTAGGCAGATATTCTCTTTCTAGGCTAAAGCAGAAATAACAGGAATTTGATCAGGATTCAAGTCATTCAATCATTCAAGTCTCAATTGAACATAACAAATCATAAAATCTGTACTTGGGTTCAGACAATCAGACCTAACATACAAATCTAGGGTTCTCCATACCCAGATGAATGGGAAAACTACTCCATGGAGAGAGAAGCAAAAGCAGATTCAGATGCGGAAATCATACTGTGAAGGATGGGTTTCTGCTCCTGGTCATCAATCGGCACTTCTCCAAGCTCAAGCCAGGCTCCAATGGTGATGAAGATCAAGCTAGGGCACTTGGGAACTCTGGTTCGTCGCTTTCTCTCTCTAGGAATCGCTCTGTCTTTCTAAAACTCGGAACCCCTCTACTTTGGCCTTCTTTTCCCTTAAAAAGCTGCCTGTCGCGATCCCCGGTCGGGTATTTTGGGTGTCGACCGGGTATGTTCAAAACGCGCGTTTAGGAACAGGGGAAATCCCCGGTCTGGCCTAAGAATCCCCGACCGGGGATTTATGCTTCCTGCCCGGACCCCCTTCTGCTTCTCAGCGACGTCCAAAGCGACAAATACCCGGTCTGCTCCACATAATACCCGGTCGGGTATTTGAGCCCATGACCGGGTATTTTCCTCCTGCAGCACACTTCGACCCAACTTCGCTCCTTTCGACCTGGAACTCGTTTCTTCGCCTCGATGCCAATGCTAAGTCCTGAAATATGACATAAACGCACAACCTAGCGTGAAATCGGCTTAAAACACGAGAATCAACATCTCAAACGGCTCAAGAATAGGGGTAAAAACATGTGTAATTAATGGTCTATCAATTGTTCAAAATTAAGATTTGTTTGATTTTTGCTACAATTAAAAGCCAATTCCTATTCGAATGACCATACCTTTTTACCTTCTCTAATTCATTTCTATTTCCATTCATGTGAAGACCTAAATGGGCCATTTTATCCTTTCATTCTCCAACCACAAATAATTATATGCTGATGCAAATGAACGATAGTCGAACTCCCCAGAATCGTTATATCCCTTCATTCCATCGTTGCCGCCATTCCATCCCCTTCAATATTGTACTCCTACCCGTCACCATGGATATATTTGTAGAGCGCGAGATCTGGGGATGTGGCAGAGCATGCCTGCCGCCGCGGAAGGCAAGGAAGCGAACCGATCTAAAATTTCAGGGACATTTCGGTTGATACTTGCGTGCTTCGTTCATCGTTGTTTCCATGGGGCAACCCACCACCACTACGAAGCGAAATTGAATTTTTCGCTCAGTTCCCAACGACACCTCTTCCATCGCCGCCGCCTCCTCCGCCTCATCCATTTTCCAATCTCCGAGATAATCGATACCAGAAGTGGATCTTCGAAGCATAATTCAATTCTTGGAAACCGCATGTCAGTTCCCATTGATACTAGGTTGCCAAAGGCCTCCAAGTTCAATCGCCAGCATCAAATCGATCCGCCTCTGTTGCTTCTGGTGACGGAGAAGATGACGGTTCTGGGCGCCATTGATGCTGCAAGCGAAGATCTGGAGTTGGAATTAGGGGTGCAAAGGCCTGTAGCATCGTATGCGTCTGTAGCATACGAGTCGTATCCATATATATTGGTGCATTCAGTACACTCACTTTTTTTTATTATGTTCAATAATGCACTCTCCTAATAATTGTCATTTCGAGAATGTGATTCATTTTAAAATGATATCAATTTTCGTTTATGATGTTATGAACAAGAAATACATGAATTTGTCAAAATGGTTTACCTATGTATCTTTTGCCAAAATTTTATTCTTTATATGTTTTTAGCTTATATAATATGCACCACATAATATTCTCCCTACTCCTTCAATTGATACCAATTCTAAATGACATATAGTTCCTTCCAACTTCCAATTCATAACCGACCGTAAGAAGTGTAAAAATTTCTTCCAAAATATAAAAATAAATATATAAACAATAGTAAAACTATGACGACTTGATTACAAAAATACATATGAACTAATTACTGCTATTATGATAATTCACAAATACCACAAAAATACTTTGAAATAACGAATTAAATATTTTAGAAGCGTCTAAATTATTTAACAATATGAAAAAATTGATCAACATATTATTAAATTCGTCCGATCAAGAGTTCGAGTAAAATTAGTTTTATAAAAAAAAAAGAGAGTTAGAGTTGTGCAATCTCCTCTCAATATTATCATTTTTGTGATTAAACAAAACTGTGTTGCGGTTAACCGGGTCTCCTTGTCATGATTGTTCTCTAAGTTTACTTGTTATAGTCTTGTATGGAAACGTAGTCGCAGACACAAAAGTGTTTCCTCCTCTCTATTTAAGCTTAGTTAATTGCGGGTCTCTTGTTGCAGCAAAGCTAAGTAGAGCCCTCTGTAATCTCTACCATTCGCTACGTCTACAGAAACTAGAGCAAAAAGTCATCTACAGATCGAAACATGGGTTACAACTTGCCCCAAGATCACAAGAAGACGTCCGCCACCGTCTACCCGACAACGGGTCAGCCGTCACGCCGGCGGCCTCCTCCCTGCTCCGACGGCAGCCTACCAGTCATTGATGAAAACAACAAGTCCAGAATTTCATCATGCCTCGAAGCCAGTGCCGTTTGTTGCTTAATCCTATATTTTTCTCTCTTTTCAGTGGGAAAAATAGCTGATAGTTTGTCCACCTACTCTCCCCACCCCGAAGTCGCTTCGGCAGTTGTGGCGGTTAAACAGATGAACAACGGGAGCCGATTAACTGCCGATTGGGCCTTTACTCTCCGTCTGAACAACGATAATTGCTACGAGGCGGTAGTTGTCCACCGAGTCGAGGCTTCCGTTTCACATGCCGACTCGCCGGACCAGGTGCTCGCCTCAACCACGCAGTCTGGCAGCCTGAACGGCCCCGACGGCAGCACCGGGCTCTTGAATCTCGCAATACATTTAGGGGCGGAGGAAGCGGATGTTGGAGGGAGCGTGGCGGATGCCATCTCCAAGGAAATCGAAAACAAGGACGGCCGGTTGCGCTTCACAGCTTCGATTCTTGTTTGGGTGCGAACCACGCCCTATTTCTTCCCTTATCGATATTACTTGGCGCGGATTAGTTGCGAGCCGTTCTGGATCAGATCTTCCAATATCATAGGCTGGTCCGAAGACAACTACGACGACTACAGGACCAACTGCCACTCTCATGTGTGAGTTGGATTTTCTTTAAAAAAAAAAAAAAAAAGTGTTTTCCCTTTCTCATTATGAATGAACCCTAGTGGCATATCTATATATATGGTATGATAATTATATTGTGACTTGTTTGGTGGAACAGGATTCGACAGAGCAAATCAGAGGCAAATTGGACGACAGACTCCACACCATGAGATATATAATTAAGACAAAGTAGATCTCCAAATTAGTTACCATCATTTATCAGAAGAGATAAGGCATATTGCTGTTGTTAGGTCTTGCATATTTTTACAGTATTTTATGTAATTGTTGGTCAAAGGTTCAAATATGCAGTAGTATGGTAAATTCTATCCTCGCATATTATTTTTCTGATACCAATTTTCTGTTACCAATTTCCAATGAATATCACTTATCTTGGTCTTTATTCAAAGTACTAATGAAGATCTTCATAGCGGCTATACATTTTTATTATTATTATTTTCAGCCATGTGAAGAGCTACAGCTTTCTCAAAGGATATTACCCCCGAGAATTTTGTAAGTTATATATGTAACACCCGCTCGTTCGAATATCCGTACAATATCTGAAATGTCCTTCATAATAGTTCAATAATCAAATTAACCCTAGCTTATAAACCCTGGCTCGTATTCAGCTGCGTGTGGGTATATATATATGTAAGGGACTAGCAGCTACTCCCACACTTTGCCTCCTCCGTTCCGCCGCGCAAATCTTACGTACATCCCGTATCCCTCAATGCGAAACCTCTAGCTCCCCTTCAAGTTGAGAGACGCAGCCGGACAGAGGAGAGGCAACGACATAGCTGGCCACCGGAGCTCGACAGGGTCTTGCGGCAGCCGGTGCCGGTCAGTGGCGATCGACACAGAAGGACTCGGACATGCACGTTACTGATCGCCTGGAGCAGCGGCAGACGGCGGTTCGGGAAGCAAGCTCCGGCGGCTGAGAACTATGATCGACGTGACCGAATCCATGATGATGGTCGCTAGTTATGACCAGATCCCCGCCAGAAGAATTGGCCGGTGAACTGCTTGTGGAGGAGGAGCGGCCTATGAAAAATCCGAGAGCCCAATATTTATCTCGATCAGAGCGGTGGCACATCAACCCAATTCCAATCTCTCCTCCTTGCCAATCTCAGCAAAACCCAGTCAAGCCAAAAGAGCAACTCACTTGGACGAAATCATGACCCGCTACACTGTTCGTGCAGTCACACATAGGCCAATGATCGAGTTGGGAATTGATTCGGATCAGACCGGGGGCTTGGAGATCCACGACAGTGGGTCGGACGATGGTAGCGGCGGTAGAACAGGGTGGTGCCGACAAAAATATTGTCGGGGAGATATCGACGTCGACGGGACTCCGTCAATCACAATCTCCTTCGATTTCAGTCCATAATCGTGGACGTAGATTTTTTGGGAGCAGCCAAGGCCTTGAGTTGCACTCATCTTGTAAGCATACAACGACAGGAATTACTTAAGAAGGTAATTAATTATCCTTGCTTACTACTTCGGGCGTGTCAGTCCATAGTGACGCTAGCCAGGAATTGGTCAATAACTGGTTCTAGTTAGTTGTCCGCAAATGAGCTTATGGTAATTTGATTGGTGCATTTCAAGAGTTTCGGCTGCAATGGAAAATGGAAATCATGCCTCTTACGTTAATTCGACACAACTTAATAGCTAAGCTCAACTATCTACCTCACGTACATGCATGGAAATGAATAGAAGTTTACCTAATGAATATAGCCTTTGGTTTATGGATACGAGTATGTGAATTGGGTGGTCTCCTTCCTTAAGTTAACCATGGGTTATGTTGTGGATGAGCTGTATGACTCGGGTCAAGGCAATGGGCTCTGTGGAGGAACAACGAGCAAGGCGACTGGAGTATAAATTAGGTTTTTCAACCACGTAAGTAATTACATAATAAGGCGCGTGGTTTAGGGGCTAGTTAGTATTCCATTCTTAATGATTTATTATGTGATATGATGGTGCATTCTATTTGAGTTATATGATATGCTCTTATATGCTATTTATATTTGATTTATCATGCTTAAGCTATGAATTATGCTCATTTCTCAATTTATGCAATCATGACATTGCATTGCATTGCATCACAAGGTTATGTTTTAAGACAAGGAAAATCAAGTTACTTGGTAGTGTGCTTAGCTTATATCTTCCCATTGTGTGGAGGATCAGTTTGAGGAAGTTTACTCGATTATTCAAGTTTACGGGAAAGAACAAGTTTTAAAACTCATCTAGGGGTGTCACTTCGGGTCGGGTTCAGGTACCCGAACCGAAACCCGAAACCGAAAACCACTAAAACCAAACCCGATAAGGACTTGTGAGTTCTGGTTACCCGAAACCCGAAAATTTCTTATCGGGTTCGGGTTCGGTTAAAGCAAAACCGAAACCCGAAAATCCGAATGCCTAAGAATACGGGTTGAGTTCTATTTATTGGAGGTTTTTAGCCGGAACCCGAAAAACCGATAAGCAAAACCGAACCCGAAACCGAAAAACCCGAAACCTGAAACGAACCCGAACCCGAAAAACCGAAAATGTATATAATCGGGTCGGTTTCGGGTAAAACCGAACCCGAATGGATACCCCTAAACTCACCTAAATAGCTACGCCCGTGACCACCTTCCTTCCCATTGTAAGGAGGTTGATCTTATCAAGTTGATCTGGCTCACTTCCCATGGCGAGGAAGTTGATTTTATCAAGTTTATCACGCTCTATTCCCATTGTGACGAAGTTATCAAGTTTATCCGGATTATCGCATTTTGGAGGTTGGGTGGTTACGATAGTTAAGTTGAGTTGGGGTCCCCTTGTCAAGAAAACCTTTTTAAGAAACCATTTCTATGTCAAGTAAATGTTTTAATGCATTAGCATTTGCACTCACTATGCATGTTGGATCATCTTATGTATTATGTCAAGAATGGAACTAGGACTAGGACTGACCCCAAAGCCCGCACTCAGAGATTGTACGATCATGAGGATTATGCTAGAGGAGACGGTCTGGTCACGACGAGGTTCAAGGCTCCATCGGACTCTAGTGCAAAGAATTAAATTCTTATGTACTTAGTAGGATCGAGACTTGATGTGCATTTTATTAAGTATGTTTATGTTTTCCACGTAAGCAAGTTTCAAGAAATTATGATTTGAATTTCAAAGCATTTTCGATTCTAGTTTTGGTTAACGGTTTACTAAGGATATTTTGGTAAAAGTAGTGCCTGGCCGGGCAGGTTGTTACATATATAGACTATATTTATTTTAGAAAAAAAAATTCATATACACAAAAGTGTAGATCGAGCACAAAAGTTTAGTGTCCATAAGTGAAATGGAGAAACGAAGTAGCCCAAGGAATATGAAACTAATGCATGTCGTCGCATATTAAGACTAATTACATGACAAGTTTATAAATCATACAAATTGATTCAACATTTTGACTAGTTTTTTTATTTTTTATTAAGGATATATATGAGGTAGAAATAAGTTGGTTAAAAATTGTGAAAAATATTTTAAATTAGTGTAATAAAATGTGTAAGTTGGTAGCGAATAAGGAATAAGTAACTCGATGCGCTGTCCCGAACTACCCGCAATCAGATCCCCCTACAACCCGCCCGACCCGAAACTCGATGAATCCGCAACCCAAGTGAACCCGACCCCGACTAACCCGCAATCCGGTTGAACCTTAACCGATAAACCCACAACCCGGCGAACTGAAACCTGACTAACCCGCAACCCGATTGAACCCGACCCGAACCCACCCGATTGACACCAATACCTAGAGCTCATTTTTATTTGACAAATTATAAATGGTTCGTCTCGGAAACCTTTTGCAACTGCGTATAAGTGACGCCAGTTGTGACGAAAAAGTTTCGTCGCCAAAACTTTATGTGACGGAGTTTTGGTGATTTTGACGATTTTTTTCGTTACACAAAGTGTGTTTTCCAAGATTTTCCACATTGTTGTATAAACACCATATTGCCAATTACTCCATCCAAACGACCCCTAAGGAGTTTTCCACAATTTTTTCAGCATAGAAATTGTAATAGGGGAGAAGAAAAGCTAATGTTCAAATCTCTTCTCCAAGTTAGGGGGAAAGCTGGGGGGGCTACTCGTTTTTTACTTCTTTTCAGCAACTCAACAGGACCAAATAATAATGTATTTACCACTAAATAAATTTTCTACTCAATCAAAGGGGAGGGTTAGCCAAGTGGTGGCCGCGTTTGAAGCTGGTCTCACAATTAATTCAGAGGCTCAACCGTTGTCCCAGGAGAAGATGGAAATGAATAATCCGAATCAGGAGGAGAACATTTCACTTCAGGGAGAGAGCTCACATCTGGATGAATATGGGTCGAATTTGCTAAACCGAGAGATTGGGACGCTGAAGCGCCCATTGGAGGCTGTAGAGGGCGATTTGGGTGAGGTGCCCTCGCCAAAAAAACAATTTATTGAAGTTGCTGATAATCTGGAACAGGTGGAGGATGCCAGCCTAGAGTGGCCCCAGTCCGATAAATGAAACTTTTGGCCTGGAATGTGAGAGGAATTGGGCCATCCCTCACATTCCAAACTGGTGTTGGCTTAGTTCGCTCAAATAAACCGGATCTCGTGTTCTTCTCTGAGACGCGATCGAGCCGGCGTGTTGTCTCCCGTCGTATGAGGGGTTTGGGGTTTGTTATCTCTAATTGTTTTTTTGTTGATGTTGTTGATGCATCGGGTGGGTTAGTTGTAGCTTGGTCCCCCGAAGTTGATGCTTCGGTGTTTTATCAGTCGGATTTTTGTATTTGCGTCAGGATTAATGAAGTGGACTTTTCTTATATTGTGGTTTGTGCCTACATTAGTTGCAATAACTCGATCAGAGCCTCCCAATTGGCTCACCTCCAAGAGCTCTGTTCTACTTTCCATCTCCCCTATGTGATTATGGGTGATTTTAATACCACTCTTCATGAGAGTGAAAAAGATGGGGGTAACCCTTGGAATGCTTCTCAGGCGAGTAGCCTTCGTGAATT